GTCAAGTCTGACTGCCTTCGTCTCTTCGACATCGACTGCGGTTGCGTAACGGGTATAGTTGGAACTGGGCGCGGCACTATCCTCCATCCAATGGTTCCCTTCTGAATCTGGCTGAGATCCCCCTATGATTGAATGCAGGATAGATGGATTACGAGGTGGCAGGGGTTGATCATCCGTCGTGGCGTCGAGTGACGATAGAAGCTGCTGCAATGCAAACCCCTGGCGTTTCATCTGCTGCTGCTCGCGTAAAACATCATCCACCTCCTTTTTGCGTATGAGTCGCTCTTCCCTTATCATTTTACGATATTTTGGATCAGTGATCGCCTTGGTTAAAGCACTGCGAATATGACATCGTTTATTCTGCTCATCCAACGTCAGAGCGAACCTGCTTCTAAAAGTGCAAATCGACCCACCTCGGGCCCTCTTCTATCAGACTGCTCCCCGACCTTGACCATATGTGGAAAGTCTTCCATGTATCGATTTACGTACCACGAATAGTCTTTTGCCCATGTGCTATTAGGAGCGCCCTGCTTCATAGCGCGCATCCACGCGATAAGAGCATCATGTCGTTGTGTTTCGCGGGAATCCAGTTGAGCAAACTCGTCGAGGCTCTCCACGAGGTACGTCCTAGTACAACCGTGAGAGCAAGGGACGACTGAATACAAGAAAAGGTTGTTTTTGTTGGTGGTGTGCAACACGCCGCTTTCGTTTTGTCGCCGTTTGACCCGAGGCGAGGAGGAGGATGCCATAGTGTTTTGAACGCCGCCGTCGCGAGAGGCCGACACCCTATCTGTGGCGTTTACCGATGGGAAGGTGGAGGCGTCGCCCCTGCTGGTGCCAGTTTTGCCAGTTTTGGTACTTGGCCCGCTGGTACCAAGTGTTTGCGGGGTTCCCCAGACGAACTCATAATGTGACACAGTGCCCTGCACGAGCAGGGAGAAGCCGTTGGATATCGAGACGCCCCGGGATTGAGCGTGGGCTCGAACGAGGTCTACACCGTGCGGGGTGAGTCTAGACAGTGGGCCATCATGATCGTAGTAGTCGTGGCCTTGATTGCTGCTAGGGCTGCCGCCTTCTGGTTGAGTATTATTATTAGTAGTTTCTTCTCCTTCGTCGTCATAGTCGTTGGAGGCTTGTTTATTGTTTGTACGTTTGACCCTGGATAAGGGGATATTGAAATGAATCACGCCCCTCCAGAAAACGACGACGTCGCGGGATTCCCTCTCCTGTCGCACGGTTAAATCAACATTGCTATTAGTAGCAGCAGCGTGGCCTTGGCTGACAACGTTTGGGTTCTCGTCGTCGTCGTCGAGGAGGTGCCTGTGGATAAGCTTGTTCGAGCTTCTCGACGGAGACTTGCGTGCAGGTGTCGTCTGTATTGATGATGACCGCGGTGTCGTGACAAATGTCGTCGTCTTCTCATGCTCCTGCTGCTGCTCTCTTTGCGTCGACGGCAGTGTGGGGTCCAAATTAGAAGAAG